ATTTAACACTTACTTTGATTTTGTGCACATATACTGGAGCATGGGTAGAGAATGGACACGAACACAGTGAGAACATGGACTCAATCGGTACTTTTTTGCCTGTAATGTGACAGTTTAGGACTGCACCACTTTGCTATGTTAGAAGTTTTGACATTTTGTTGTTTAAATATACATGTGAACTGTCTAATTAAACTAAGCCCTAAATATGTATTTTGCTATTTTTTTCTTTTTGCCAGACTCTCCAAATTGACCAGCAGATAAAAAAAGGTTTTGTTTTTCTTCTTCTTGTATTGTGGTTTCCATGTAAAAGACAAAAAATGAAATTAACTTTTGGGCAAACCTCCGATTTACTGGACACAACTGGCAGTCTTTATAACTTATGAAGGACTATGATGACTACAAGATGTTGCTTCAGAGATTTCATATGAACATGGTGCAGTGCTGATAGTGTGGCTGATCTTTTCTTTTACCTGATAGAATCATATCTATGGTACATGTGCCTTCCCTTATTGTTTGTGTTCTCTCAGATAAGCAAACTGAAAAATGGCTTTGGAAATCCCACACGAAACAATGGAAAGCAGCACAACAGCAAATCAATAATGTATGAATAACAATCTCTCTGCTGTTTTGTACGTGGCTTGATCACCAGATTCTGGGGGGACTAGAGCGTAATAATTCACAGTCAGTTCAGCAGATTTTGAAGTGCATCTGGAAGACGTCACAACTAACACTAAAGAAATGATCCTACGCAGCTGTGCAGGGTGGTGTGCAGTGACCCATCATTGTTGGGTTATATCCAGAAGGAGGTCATCATGACCTAATCAAGCAGCCCTGCCTCACTGCATTATACTGCTGCTGTATTTGGTTGTAAAAATAGCAGGCTGTCTTTTATCAATGCTTCTTGGGTCTTCAATAGGGAGTTCGGCCAACAACTACTTTGGATTTGAATCTTATGAATTCTATTCTATTCTACTTTTCCTTTCCTTTAGGTTGTGTATATAACGCAGGTTGTGAGTTACAAATAAATGCTGTATTGCACACATGAGCTATGTTAGATATCCTCAGAGTTTTTCAGTTTTGTTCATTTTAGGTTGTGCAATTTTCCCTACTCTATGAATTGAAACACAATCCCAAAGCACAATATTTTTATTCTGGACAGATGGCAAGTGTTTTTTAATCAACTGTTGCTCCATTTTCATCTGAAAAACACTCAACTTCTCCTATAAAACTACTTTTGCTTTGCAAACTTCAAGTGCTATTATTTTGCACTCATTGAGCCATAAATACTACACAGTGAAACGACGAATTGCATCTCACCTGTCAGTTAAACCTTCCTGTTAGCTGAACTCTGCTTAAGCTAAACTCCTGTTAACAATCATTATAAAGAGTTCTAAAGGGGTAGATATCAAGTGACTTTGTTTCAGACCCTTAGTTGCCCTGCTGAAATTAGGAGTTAAAAGATACATGCAACTAAAACATGACAACACACTCTGCTAGATAGTCAGTGTTTTGTGGTACTTAAGAGGGAAGTGTTAGAGCTACAGCGAGATTTTTAATGAGGATGTCTTTCTTCCACAGCAGAACACAGGTGCTGTCTGCAGCCCTTTTCAGACATGACACGCTCAGAATAGTTTACTAATTATTGGATTCTACTAGAGCATCACTACTGCATCATTCGTAGTTTAAAATATTTTCTTTCTTACACAGGATCTTGGCACAGCCTCTCATCCTGTATTTGAACAATCTACCTTCCCTTCCCTTTAAGCCAGCTTTCAGACGGAGCTTTTGTGATCGCAGTCAGAGCTGAGTGTCCATGAGAGGTCCATGTAATGATGGCGGTTTCTTAGTGACATCATACAGAGTCAAGAACAGAAAAAACTAGAGCAGTTTGAAAACTTTGGCAAAACAGCATAGATGTAGGATGAACACAGTGGTGCAGCATGGCAACTCAAAGCCCTGAGAAAAACAATCTTTCATGGTTTTACTTTTGTTGACAAAAAATGATGAAAAATAGAAAATGAAGTCAAAGGCACATCCTCCATCCTGAGGTAATTAACAGTTTGCAACAGTGAAACCACAGTTAAAGCTGCGTACTTTTATATACAGAGTAGATTATTGTAAAATAGTTCAGTAGATATGCAGATTTTTTTTTGTCCTGTATCACTGCATCTGTGCCTTTCTGCGGCTCCTAGCTGGAAGCTGATTAATTATTCTCTGTGTGAAGGATGTTTTGGCCTAGAGTGATTGCTGCTCCTCTGTGGCACTCCTGTTCTCTAGATCACCTCGAGCCAAATGAGATGTGGTGGGGAGGAATAAAGGGTCAAAGCCCTCCATCTCTGCACCACCATCCCTTCCTTACGTCCCCTAACCCTCAGCAGCCTTGACAATCCAGAGCTGCGAGGAACAGTGGGCTCCCCTGGTACAGTTTCTTCTTAGAACCACTGTCCAGTATGACACAGGAATCTAGTAAATGTTAATATAGTTTATTGAATAATGTGATTTTTTACTGAATATTACTGAAATCCTGCTTTATTTCATGGTATTTCTTTCCCTATCTAAGAATTCAACACTAAAAGTGTCCTATTATTACGTCCACAGACATCTGCTGGGCCGATTGTACAGCTGTCATTTGTTACTTTGCTCTCATCAGTTCTGGCTCAATGTTGAGGAGGTTGTGTTCTAGTTTGCAGTTGTTAGTCATGTCAGATGCTCAGTAAACAGTTGCCCGCAGTGGTGATAGCAGCTTGTCAGGTCTTAGGCAATGCTAACTGCCCATGCAAAATGTTTTCAGAGCAGTCCAAAAGCCTTCATTTACAGTTTTCCAGGATTTCAGTAAAGGTGCTAGAATTAAATGAATGTATTTATAACATCAATCACACATAGATTAACATTCCCCCTGTTTATATAGGTAAAAGCACATAAGACGACTTGGTTTGCATCTCTTTGCAGTCAGTTTATATGTCTCTCTCTTCTCTTTGTCTCTCTGTTTATGTGTTTCATTTGCATTTCTTTTAACACATTTCTGTCTCTGGTCTACTTTCTTCTCTTTTTAGTCATGTTTAGACTCAGTGACACCTTTTTGCTGACTCTTTCCAATCGCTTTTTGGGCTAATTTGCATTTTTTCCCTTTTTTTGCCTTTTAGTGTTTGGTTTTGGTCTCTTTCTGGTCATTTTCACTTTCTTTGTAGTTGTCTGCCTCTCCTGGTTTAATCACAGCACTTTGTGTTTCTTTGTAGACAATTTCAAGTCTATTTTTGGTCGTTTGAATTTCTTTCTAAAATTCACATGTTTAGAAACAGGTTTTCTGGGATTAGGTGTGTGGAGTATTTGAAACCGTCAGCCTGTGCAGCAGACACTTTCTTTTCCTTCAACAATTACAAGCTGAATCTCTACAATTTTGCTTCATTTTTGTCAATCTCAGATTTCAAGTACAGTGGTCCCTCGCTGTAACGTGGTTCACCTTTCGCGGCCTCACTGTTTCACAAATTTATTTTGTGCAATTTTGCTTTTTTGTGTTTGTTTGTTTGTTTTTTTACAGGGCATTGTGTTCTGCCTCCTGATCGGCTGTAGACCATTGTCAGTCACTCTCCTCCGTGCCGTGTCTCCCGTACAGAACAGAACGCGTTCAGCTTGTCACATTTACATAAATCTTCGATCGCTAGCAGTGTGACTCTGAAGTGCTGTACTTTATGTCTGCAAGTTTTCTCCCCAACAAACACAACAATGTTGACAAATGTTTTACACGGTCAAAGGCACCTGCGGTAGCACCCAAAAGGGAAAGATGCTACCATCACACAAAAAGTTGGACATCTGGACATGCTAAAGGAAGATAGAAGTTACCGTATTATAAGGTGCCTGATTATAAGGCACATTAAGCGATCAGATATGTCAAACTTTCCTCAACTCATTCTTCTTGCTTCTGGTACATTAATGTTGAATTTTCTGGCAGATTTTTTTTTTTTAATGTCTTTTTAGCTTAACTAAATAAAAACATAAAAGCTTTTAAAACCTACTCAACTGTCTATACTCTACTCCATCTAGACCATATGTTGGACAGAAACTGAAATACAGATGTGGGTGTAAAACAACAAGAAACCACATGTCGAGCAAAATAAACCAGTTGTGTATATATATATCATTCATTTTGAACACACTCGCACAAAATAATAAACAGAAAGAGCTAGCAGGATGACACAGTGTCATAGTTCTTGAGTAAAGCTAACATGAGGATTTCATTGAAATAGAAAAAAAAGATCAGAAGTTAAATTGCTTCTGAGAGTATTTGCAATAATCAGAATCTTTCTTCTAAAAAGTGTCTTGAAGCAGCACTTTCATTTACCACCTTCAACCCACAAGCACCTGCTGCTGCTGCAGAGATCGTGTTGTTTTTCTTTTTCAAATGCCTAACGGTGTTAGACTTATATGTAGGCAGCTATAGTCACACACTATATATACCCAAGTGCGCCTCAGCTTAATGGCACACACTAATGACTGGACATCAGCCCGCATTTACTAAAAATGTATGTGCAGATTTGCAACAGTAACTAATTTTACGACTTCACTTTACAACTATTTTTCTTAGTTACCAAGTTGATACTGTAATTACTGCATTACTGCATTGTTGATACAGGCAATCGTGGCTCAAGAGTTGGTGTGATATGGTAAAAACAAAAAGTGTTTAGCTCAAGGAAAGAACCACCATACTTGACAGTATACGTGAGCTTCATTGATGTCAGATTCAACTTTAAGAGGAAGAACATGGCGATTATTTAATTTGATTTGTTATTACACGTTTATGGACAAACTCTTTCTCGCTAAGAGCCTTTTTTTAATGCTCCAGGTCTTGTATTTCCAAACATGAAAAGTCATTTTGTCATATGTGCTGCAGGCCTTAAGCAAGCTCATAGGAAAGGATTTGTGTTCCTGTAGAGAGTTTTGGTCACGGGGAAGAAAATAGAATAGTAACGGTGTTTTTGTGCTTCTGTTTCTTATCTTTACAGGTACAAGAATATCATCCAGCTATGGACTGGCTGTCCTCCTCGTGGCGTGTGGTTTGGTGAGGAATGCCTTGTTATAATTTGAGGAACTGACATGGTTTGCACCCAGGTCTCTCTCTCTCTCTCACTCACTCTCTCTTTTTCTGTTTGCTCTCAAAGCGAATGAGAAAAAAAAAATGCCTGTTTTACTCCCTGCCCCTCTCCCTCCCCCCC